TTTATGTGTGTACGGTAGTAGTGTATGTAGCTTTTTATGAAACTACAACATCTATTATATATAAGTAAGTTTACGCTTAGTTAGCATAAAAGTAATGCGATTGTTTTGTAATCAATGGACACAAGTGCGATTCTTGTACTGAGCTCTGTGTGCCTAAATTTACTTACTAGCTTTGCTAGAATAAAAGATTAAGGATTAGTAGTCAAGTGGTAAGACATAACTCTTTCGATGTTAGTATCGCAGGTTCGAATCCTGTCTAGTCTACTGCGGGTTGGTGTAATAGTTAGCATATTCGGCTCATGCCCGAAAGATCATAAGGTGCAAATCCTGTACCCGCTTACAACAAAACAAAACAAAACAGAACAGCACACAGTTGTATTTTTATACTATAATTGTTTTAATTAGAAGCGAAGGATAAAGGAACGAAGGGACTAAAAGTCACCCTTCTCTGAAATATCTCTCGCTTGCTAGCATAGCTTGCGCTAGCGCAGCAATACTAAAATAAATATTTTTTATTATATAAATAAAGGGGATATAGCTTAATTGGTAGAGTATACTGCTCATAACAGTACTTGTAAGTGTTCAATTCACTTTATCCCTAAGTCTAAGTGATGAAATTGGTAAACATGATGTGCTTAAAACACATCGGCGTAATGCCTTGAAAGTTCGAGTCTTTCCTTGGACACAGTAGAGTATATCTTATATAAAAATATAACTAAACTATAATTAGTCACCCGCAGGGGTAGGGCTACTTTGTAAAATTTGTGCTTTTATGTAATATTAAACAAAGAGTAGTGAATAATTTGGTAAGTACAAGAGATAGCTTACCAGCTATCTATCAGAATCTCTGGTATCTATCTAAATTATAATTACTGTTATACATTTCTTAAATAATTAAAATTATTGTAGAATTAAGAGCTAGGGTGGTAGTCTTATTATTTATTATATAATGTTTTTTGTTATGAAATAGCAAGGACAGAATTAAAAGGCTGACTTTATACTAAAAAATAGTACTTCGTAATACTAATTATATAAATATATCCATTATTATTAATTTTTATTTAGAGTATTTCATAATACGATTCTACAAAGTAGTGCTAGTAGTCACAGGGGGTATAGTTTAATTGGTAAAACTGCGATTTTGCATATCGTTAATTCGAGTTCGATTCTTGATACCTCCAAAGATTAACATTAAAATCATGGATAGTATTTCATAGGCATAGCTTGCGCTACGAAATAAAATTATATGCATACTTCTGGCTATGAAATATGCACAGCCTTAAAATAAACTTAAAGTATTACATTCTCCTTAGACTATATGTCTGCAAGGGTTAGTCTTTTATGCTTGCGCTTCTTGTGCTACGAAGTCAGCATGAAGAGCTTGCGCTAGCCTCCGGCTACACAA